CTAAATGATGTTTCTCATGAATCTTGAGGACAATAAGGTGTGGGGTTTTAAAGACATTTCAACTTTAATGCACCTGAACACACAGAGTCTCTTACACCTGCAGCCTCACAGTTACTGTTAAACTAATGCTACAGACGTAGCTCCTCTCAAGCATCCTCCTAACATGAATATATGTTGATGATCAACCCCCTGGTCAACCACTGCCCACACTAAGCTGCTAAACTGGCGAGCAAGTAACACAGAGGTACCTCCACCTCCTCCACCTGTGCACGTTTTCTGCCGAGGCAAGAGGCAGGAAGCGACGGTGGAGAGTTGGAGGTAACCAGGAAAACCTGGAGTGGAGTTTTAGTGGCCTGAGTATTCTCCTATTAATCAAGTGGACTGGATTTGTTCATGAAGAAAGAGAAACTGCACTGCCTGAACTAATGTTTTATAGTAAAAGCGTGTGTCCAAATGAACGTTTTTTTAATGTGGGGGGACTTGTCCCCTTCACATATAATGGTTGCAACGCCTATGCGCTAAAGACGTTTTTTAGGGCTGAAACGATTCCTCAAATAGTGGTCATTCCGTAGGTTGCAGGAGTATCAGAGAAACTGAGACATTTATTTTCTAAACACAACGTCCCAGTGGCTTTTAAACCCCAAAATACATTAAAGACTGGTTCATCCCAAAGATCCAGTCCCCCGGCACAAACAGAGTAATATTGTGTATGCTGTTCAGTGTCAGGAGGGTGATCAGTCTTACATCGGGGAAACTAAACAGCCACTGGCCAAAAGGATGGCCGAGCCCAGAAGATCAACATCATCAGGCCAGGACTCTGAGGTCTACACTCATCTCCAGGCCAGCGGTCACTCTTTCAGGGATGAAGATGTGCACATCCTGGACAGAGAGGAACGATGGTTTGAGAGAGGAGTAAAGGAGGCCATCTTTGTGAAAAGAAATCGTCCATCGTTAAACAGGGGTGGAGGCCTCCGGGTTCAACTGTCCCCCTCTTACAATGCTGTGATTGCTAGTATCACTCAGCCCTCTGTGAATAGTAAACAGCCATCAGTGTGCTAATGATCCATTGTTAGGCTGATGGTCCTTCTTGAGCATGTGATCAGCTGGTTTTGGTTGTCAGCAGCAAAACTGGTTGATCCACTCTGAGAAGGTGCTATTTAAGAGACTGAGCTGAATACAGCACCTCAGACTGAGGAAGTCTCTCGGATGAGAGACGAAATGTTTCTACTTTTTTGTTGTTGTTTTGTTTTTTGAATGTCCAAAGGACCAGATTTAACTTTTTTAGATTCCTCAAATAATTAGAGTACCTCGATTACAAAAAAATCCTCAAGGCATATTCATCTGCCTTGAAGCTTCATTAAACTATTCAGCGCATTGTGGTCTAGCTGAAAGGTTTTTGTTTTGCATAACGCTACCACATCCACCTGGCGCGCGCGCATGTGCTAAGTTTGTAGCTACCCAACTGAGAATTATTGGATTTCGTAACTGGATGACTGAGCATGATTGAGCACCTAACCCTAATCCTAACGTTGTTGAACTGGAGAAGAGCCCAAAAAACGACATAAGCTGTCAAAAGTTTGGGAATATTTTAGGCTAAACAGAAAAGACAGCACAACAAAATGCTTCCAGTGCAAAGCAGAACTGGAGTAACCACAACAGCACGTCGTCCATGTTGCAGCGTCTGAAGAGAAAACACTCACTGTAGCATTAAACTGTCCGCAGCTGCAACAGGTATCATGCTCTCTGTGCAAAATACGTTAAACTAAATGTGTGATCATCTGTCATGCTATAGAATTAAAATGAGGCATATTTTTGCTAACGTTAAATCTACTGACTGATCATAGAGGCTTCCTGGCAGAGTCTGTACATGGTGCCAGGAAAAAAACTGCAGGACTTGATTCAAGTTTGTTAACGATAAAAGCAGCAACAGACTGACGCATTTATTTATTGATGAACTTCCATCCTGACTTAAATGACATATTTAGGGAGAATATTTCAAGTGTAAATGTATTTACATGAGTTAGTAGGGTTTTTTTCTTCTTCTTGCTACTGTTTATGACTTAAAAACTGTGATTATCTGCATTTATTACTTCTGTCATATTTGTTTATAGCTCAGCAATCAGGACTCAATAATAATACAGTCTGCAGAACTCAATGTACAAACTCAAACTTTACATTATCTATCTTACTCACTTTCTAACATAAAGACTCAATTCAGTTTTCCAGTCCATAAAAAATATTTTACAGCATTTAGATTTTTATGTGATGGTTAAAAATAATTCAGTGACAGAGGGTTTTAACTGAAGCATCCTCAAACCTCACACATAAATAAAAGCATAAAATGCATAAATCAAATACAACTGACACTAATGTTACTTTGACTGCAGCAGAGTCATCAGAAAGTGTAATTACTTAACAACATTACAACAAATAATAATTTTATTCTTCTTCTTTTCAGTAAATGTCAGAGTCACACGTTGGACAGCTTCGTCCAAACAGCCCCAGGATGTTGGTTGAGCAGCAGCTGAGTTCACAAACAGCATTTTAAATCTGATCATCACAGACATGCAGCTGCTGTCCGTGGTGGAAGATGAAGGATCCAGAAGATCATCTCCACCTTCAATCCAAACTTATTTATTTCTCCTGTTTTTGCATTTTTTGAAAAAAAGCAAGTTTTGCTATACCATAGACTTGAAACTGAAATGGAGGTTCAACATGTTATTGCATTTTAAGTAATAAAATATTTTTAAAAAGAGGAATTAAATGGGTTGTTTACTTAAATGTTCTTTTTCATGTATTTGTATTAATCATAAAATGAGTAGTTACTGCAGAACCTGACAAAGTTAGTTTTTGATTACTCGATTAATCACCAGAATAATCGATCCCCTGTGTGAGACCGTGTACTTAATTGTCCTTCCACCACATGTGGTGGAAGGACAATTAAGAATCTCTGACTCTGATAGATTACTCTATTACTAAAATAATCGTTTACAACAGCCCTACGGTCCTTAGCAGCTAACAAGATGGCTAAAGTCAGCTGTCTTGTTAGCTGCCAAGGACCGTGTCTTTGGTGATATAAGCCACTGCTTTATTAATGTGGCGCTACCTCCTCTCACTGCAAGACTTGAAAATCTGTGTACAGTATACCTGGATTATTGAGCATGGACTTTGTTGGTTTTGAACCAGTTTGACATGACTGTCGATGAGGAAGAGGGCCAGCACCGGAGGGGGCATGCCAAAGACACCATCTTAGCACCAACATAACTGGTTTGTTCCACTTTGGAGTAAGCTGTTTGGGGGAAGAATCAGCTTTGTGTTGTGTGTTTCCTTGACTGATGAAGACTTCTGGATGGAAGGTGAAATGCTTCAGCACACACACACAAAAAAAAAAGAAACTGTCCAGATGACCTGACTGAAAATTGTTGGATTATACACCTGGATTATTGAGCATGGACTTTGTTGGCTGTGTACAGTAGTTATTTTTCTGCCCATCCAACTTCACGCAGCCTCCTCCTCCTCCCTCGCTGAATACAAACAACCCCTCACTGCTGCTTCACACACACTCAATGTGAACGCGGCGCTGAAGAGGATTATTATTTAATATATGTAAATAAATGTCTAACAAACAAACTCTAATTTATGTAAATAATTTATTTTTTAGACATTTATTTTGTAGAGTTATAGCTGCTGTTAATAAATGTGCCTGTGTGACAACTGGGACAAAGGTTTGACTCAGAATTATATTTTTGTTATTATTTTATGGAAAGAAAAAATAAATTGATATATATCGTATATCGCCATTTGTCTTAAAATACTGAGATATTAATTTTGGTCCATAACGCCCAGCCCTAGAATCAATAAGAAGCCTCACTGACTTGAGTTTGAGCCCAAAAATTGTGTAGTTCTCAACTCTTATCACCCACTGACACCCCGCCTTGTGCATTACTTCAAGCCAGAACTAATTTCTTATAGGGCAAGCATGTAAACAAGCGGTGTGTGATTGGTCAGAACTTTGTGGGCATGTTTGTTTATGTAAAGTTGTTGCAGTAAACTGCTCCCTGAGAGCGGTGTCTGCTGACAGGCTGCTGGTGAAGGCTGTTAAATACAGCCAGCATTACAACTGTTTCAGTAAAAATGACAAAGAAACTCAGATTAAAAAATATAAAGACAGTAAAAAGAGTGCACCTCCCATGGGCAGCCATACTGGTGATGGAAATTTACAAAATCGTGCTCCTCCTCAGTTAAAAACAGAGAAATAACAGATCTTTCTCCTCCATCATCAACTGAAAATAAACATCCACTCTGAAAACTGTGCTGTCTGTGTTTATTCTGGTTGCACATGACGTCTGCTGAAGTTGGAGGACTTGTTAGGATTTTCTCTCCCACTGTTCTCTTTTGAGTATGTCCGTGAAAAAAGATCTCATCTCTATTGCAACTTATTGAAGTACAATCAGGCCTTTACGCTGTCGCCTCCATACACAAAACAGTGCCATTTTCCATAAGATCTCCAACTACCTTCATTAGATTTATTTTTATCTCTGTTTAGCTGTAACACTTGTAATGATGGCTTTTTATTCTAACAGCCTCGACCAGCTCGTCTTCAGCAGAGCCATTGAAGCAAAATGAGAGCATTCTAGTTCACCTGCTTCTTTGCATAAACGAGCCCATGAAATTCTGACCAATCACACAATACTTGATGCATACCTTTGTGAGAAAAAGTTCTGCCTGGACTGTGTTAACACAGTTTTCCGAGCTCATGCGAGAACTAAAGGACAAAATTTTTGTCATGCAACAACATCAGGGAAGGCAGATTTCTTCACTTCTCGTAGAGTATTATATTTAGTTTTGCTCATAAAAACTAAAAGTTAAAAATGTTAAAAGATGAAAGGGGATCTTAATTAGAAAGAAAGTATTAAAATATAAGTTTTTACCACAATTAGAGAGATTGAATAATTCAGAAACATTTCTGTAAATCTTGAAACTTTATTAGATCTTATTGAAGTGGGTCATTCTGACATGATGCGTCTTCAGGACATCTCATCTGTGGGAGGTTTTGTGTTTGATTAAATGGCTGCTTTGCCGGAATGTTTTCCCACAGATTTTACAGGCATATGGTTTTTCACCCGTGTGAGTTCTCATGTGATACATCAAGCTAGTCCTGGAGCCTAAACCTTTCCCACAACTGGTACATGAGTATGGATTTTCAGTTGCATGAGTTTTCATGTGAACAGTCAAAGCTCCAGCTCTAACAAAACCTTTTCCACATTCTTTACAATATGACTTCTCACCCGTGTGCTTTCTCATGTGACCAGATAAATGGACACCTTGACTAAATGTTTTCCCACAAACTTGACAGGAATAGGGTTTTTCACCCGTATGAGTTCTCATATGATGCAACAGGCCAGTGCTGGATCTTAAATGTTTTCCACACATCTTACATGAATAGGGCTTCTCACCCGTGTGAGTCAACATGTGAGTGTTTAAAGCCCCCCTTTGAATGAAACCTTTTCCACATTCTTTGCAAGAAAATGGCTTCTCACCTGTGTGGATTCTCATATGGTAAGTCAAACTGTTGCTCTGAGTGAAGCTTTTATGACAAACGTTACAAGTAAATGGTTTCTCACCCGTGTGCTTTCTTATGTGGCGAGTCAAATCATTTTTAAGTCCAAATCTGTCCCCACAGACCTGACAGAAGAATGGTTTCTCTCCTGTGTGTGTTATCATGTGGCGTATCAATCTGTCACGTCGTGCAAATCTTTTCAAGCAAGTTTCACAAGAAAAACACTTATCAACTTGGTGAGATTTTTGGTGAGAATTCATCAGTGATAAGTCTGAGAATGTTTCTCCACAAGTGTTACAGGCGTAAGATTTTGTTCCTTGTATGTCCAAACCTGGTTCTTCTTTTAATGGAGATGAGGTAGAAAGGAGCGGGGTGCTGGTTGGTTCTGATTCACTGCTGTCACTTTCCTCATAATTAACAGTTACCATGAAAATATCACTTTCCTCCTTTAAAACCAGCTGCTGCTCATCCTGAATGCTGTGGAGTTCTTCATGTTCCACTTTGATCGGTGGAGGGTCTGGTTCCTTCTGTTCCTCTTTAATCTGTGGCGGTTCTTGATCCTCCTGCTCTATTCTACTCTGTGATGATTCTGGTTCCTTTTGTCTCATTTTGTTCTGTGGAGATTCTAGTTCTTCTTGTTCCACCTTGGTCTGTAAAGGTTCTGGTTCCTCCCAATCCTTCTTTTGAAAAATTCTAGTAGGAACTTGCTGGTTAAACTGGAGTTCCTATCTTGGTCAGAAAACTGCTGCTGTAGCTCAGAATGTTGTCCTCCTCCGTGACATATTGTTGAAGTGGTCTGGAAAAAACAAAGTGACCCAAAAACAAATTATTACCCTGACAACAACAAAAAAAAACATTTATGAAAAAAAGTCTTCCTTTTAGCAGGAATCTAAAATCTAAAATATGAATCTGTCATTAAAATATGTTAATGAAATGTCAAGTTTACTGGATTTAACATTTTGGGTAAACTTAGTGCGAATGAGAAATATCTTGTGAGCAATGTATTAAACCCTCCAAACATGAGACAGTATAAGGAAAAACTCAAGAGTTTATTAAATGAATGAGAATAAAATGAGAACAAAAAATAATCCTAGGTTTCTGTTCAGTTATAGTTAGATTAATGAAAAGTCCCACATCCCTACAGCTACAAGTGATGACTTCATGAGAATGTTTACAAATAAAAAATTTAAATTAGAGAGAAAATTCAAACCATCCTTCCTACTATTGCTTCTAATTCCCTGTCAGATGATGCAGCTTTAGAAATTATACTAAAACAAGATTTATGTTTGGACAGTTTTTGTCCTGTTGAGCTCTCTGAATTGTCAAAAATAGCTTCATACAAACCATCCATATATCTGCTAGATCCCATTCCAACCAGACTGTGTTTCCCCTAATTGATATCCCAAAACTGGATCAGCTTAATTTGTCTCTAATGAATGGTTATGTACCACAGCACATTAAGGTTGCTGTAATTAAGCTTTTACTTAAGAAACCTGAGCTTGATTCAGGAATTCTGGCCAATTATAGACCTATATCTACCCTAACATTCTAAAACTTCTTTAGAAAACAGTTGCAAATCAATTGTGTGAACATCTGAACAGAAATAATCTGTTTGAAGAGTTTCAGTCAGGGTTTAGAGCTCATCAGTGCACAGAAATGGTACTTGTGAAAGTTACTAATGATATTCTCATGGCCTGAGACAATGGACTTGTGTCTGTTAGACCTCAGTGCTGCAGTTGACACAGTTGATCATAATATTCAACTACAGAGGCTTGCATTATTTTTTCATTCAACCTTTATTTATACAGGTTAATCCCACTGAGCCTAGGGGACTCATTTACAAGAGAAACTTGCGAGAGGGACTCGAATATGATACAGAGATTACAGGAACAGATCTAAAATGGTTTAAATCATATTTATTTGACAAATTCCAGTTTATAAATATAAATAATGATTCTTCTTCATACACCAAAGTTAGTCATGGAGTTCCTCAGGGTTCAGTGACTGGACCAATACAATTTACTTTATATGCTTCCATTAGGTAAAGTTATTAAACAGCACTGGATAATTTTTCATTGTTATGCTCATGATATTCTGTTATGGGGAAGCTGTGGCTGAGTGGTTAGAGCAGTCGTCTTCCAATGCGAGAGTTGGGGGTTCGAATCTAACAGCAGTAACATGCCGAAGTGTCCCTGGGCAAGACACTGAACCCCTCGTTGCCTCTGATGTGTGTCCCATCGGTGTATGAATGTGATAAAGCTCTGATTAGTCTCATTAGAATTATTTTTTTTCAATTAGCTTTGTAGAGATCTAGTAGTGCTGTATGAATGGGTAAATGAGGCACAGATTGTAGTGTAAAGCGCTTTGAGTATCTCGATAAGATAGAAAGGGGCTATATAAGTACAGTCCATTTGCCATTTATATTTATCCACGAAATATAGAAAAATGGTGAATCCAGTCTATTACTTAGACTACAAGCATGTTTTTAAGACATAAAAAACCTGGATGACCCTTAATTTTCTGCTTTTATACTCAGACAAGACAGAAGTTGGGGTTTTAGGACTTGAGCATCTTAGAATTAAATTTATGCAATCTTTCACTTTCTCTGGATTGGCATTAATTTGGCCTCCAGTTCCACTGTTAAAAAAGCTTGGTGCTATTTTTTTTAAAATCAGGATGTATCTTTGGACTAGGGGTGGGTGATATGGCTTAAGTATAATATTGTGATATTTCAGAGCATTCTGACGATAATAAATTTTGTGATGTAACAAAAAAAAAAAACAGAAATCATAGTTACTGATTTGACAAAATTAACTTAACATATTGCTTTGCAGTATTATATAAAAACTTAAAAAAAAACAAGAGTTAATTTTACTGAAATTACTTTATTTAGTAAAGTATTCAGTCTCCAAGTATAAAAATAAAAATGATTCTTCTGTTATTTAGATTGAAAAAGTCTACACAAAATATAGAACAAAATCAACCCCAAAAACTAAAGTGCAAGTGCAGTTTCCCCCAAAAAACTGAATAAAATGAAGCTTAAGATCTGTTGAGCATAAATGTAACTAGGCCTGTATAATGAACTGAGGTTCGTTTATGGCACCGACCGAACTGCGCCGGTCGGTGTATTTATTGAAAGTCACTCTTCTGTTGGTGTCAAGTTTCGGTACTGGCTGTAATGTGTCACGTGGTTTCAGCACGCGGGCAAGTAAAACGCAGACATATGACAAACAGACTACGTGTTTACACCCTTTACACCCAGAGCTGTATAGAGCAGCCGTATAGCCATAGGTCTATGGTGCTGGTTACACCCACAGACAGGGTTCACGTGTGCAGCACGTGTGTTGTCGAAAGGCTTCAATTTACGAGCAGAAAGTTGCTCTGTGTTTTTCTGCAAAGAGAGAGAGGAGCGCAGCCTCTCCCCCTCCTCTCAGCGTTAAAATCAGCCTGCGAGTGTTGAACGGCCTGACTCAACATTCCACGACCGGACTCCTCTTCATCAAAGAACTCCGAGGATGTGGCTGTGTCTGGGATTTCAGCTGGTAAGTTTACGTCTGTTAACCAAAAACGTCCACGCTCAATAATCCAGGTATACAATCAAACAATTTTCAGTCAGGTCATCTGGACAGTTTTTTTGTTGTTGAAACATTTCACCAGTCAAGCTGCGCCCGCATAAGCAGCCCAGAGCGGGGTGGGGGGAGAGAAAAAAGCTGAGCTGCGTGGTTGGGGCGAGGGAGAGACCGCCGAGCTGTGCACTGTCTGTACGTGCAGTTTAGAGCTGGGTGGAGAAACACAGCTGAGCCGTGTGTTTGTTTTTAGCTAGCTAGTATTGCGCGCAACTAATTAGTGTTATGCCAGTACCGATAGGTGGTTGGTTGAGGGTGCGCAGCTCGGTTCGGTAGTTTGGTGCTCTCAGTTCTGTTAACGGGGCGGGGCATTTAAGTCATGAAATTAGCATATCATGATACTTATTTTCCCGGGCAAGCTTTTTTTTAACCGGTATTATCGTGAATGATATATGGCCCAGCCCTTCTTTTGACCCTAATATTAAAAAAGTTATCAGGACCGCGCTCCTCCATCTGCGTAATATCATTAAAATGGGACACATCTTCTCCAAAAAAAGAAAAAAACTGGTCCAAACATTCATCACGTCTAGGCTGGACTATTGCAATTGTTTTCTCAATGACTGAATAAGAATCTGTTAATTACATGGAATTCTATACCATAACATGAATATTCAGCCAAGCAAATTTTTATCACAGTTGTGATAACAATAATGTTTTTGTTATATTACCTTAAGAAGAAGGGAAAGGTAGTCAGACCTGATGACATACCAGTGGATGCATGAAAATGTCTGAATGGAACTGAAATTTTGACTCAATTATCCAATGTCATTTTTTAGAGTGAGAAAATACCTGAGGAATGGAGGAAAAGTGTGCTGGTGCCCATTTTTAAAAACAAGTGATGCAGAGTTGTAGCAACTACAGGGGAATTAAGTCACACAATGAAGATCTGGGAGAGAGTTGTGGGAGCAAGACTTAGATGAGAGGTGACTGTGAGCAGCAGTATGGTTTCATGCCAAGAAAGAGCACCACCAGGGATAGTGGTGGCACTGGTTATTGCGGCACGCAGCAGTAGGGCGTGTGCTGTGTATGTTTGTTGATCATTTTCTTTGTTCCTGTTCCTTTTTGTATTTTTTTTTCTGCATATGGTGGTAGGAATAACCATGGACTATCCTTGTGTTGTTTATTTTTTGTTGCTTTTCGCACTGTTTTGTCAATTTTTTGCCGGACTCTGTGTGGACCATACGCGGCTGCAGTATGGCCGGGAGTTTCTGCTCCTTATGCAGGACTCTGGAGCAGGCGCTGTGGAACCCTCTGCAATTTTTCCAGCAGACATCCTCCGGACAGGGACCTCAGCTAAAGACCGGTGCTGGGAGCAGAAGCAGCCAGGCGTAAGGAAGCGGAGAAGACGTGGTGGTGTTCGGCAGAGGCTGAAGGGGGGGGGGAGTCTCGCTCGTATGCTGCTTCCAACCATCATGCTGGCAAATGTGCAGCCATTCTGCGGCAAAATCGATGAGCTTCAGGCTAACGTGAAGTTTCTGGAGGAGTATAAAAGTGCCTGTGTTCTGGCACTGACAAAAACTTGGCTCAAGGACCATGACCTACGATTGGACCTGGAGATCGAAGGCTTTGGTGAGCCCATTCGTTTGGACAGAGACCCCACCAGGACAGGTAAATCACTCAGTAGAGGACTGTGCCTTTACGTTAATAAAAAGTGGTGCAACACAGTTATCATCAGGGAGACTATGTACACGCCAGACATCCAACTTTTGTCTGTGTCTCTCTGCCGTTTTACCTGCCAAGGGAATTCCCCCAGTTTTTTACAACACTCGTTTACATCCACCCTAAGGCTAATACGGAGCTAGCAACTCAGGCTTTGCTAAAAACAGTGCAGCAGTTTCAGAAGATCTCACCGGATGCTCCTAAACTTATTATGGGGGATTTTAACCACTGCAGACTCAGAAAGCCACTTGGAAATTTTTATCAGTATGTAACGTGCCCTACTCGACTTACCAAATGTTTGGACCTGTGTTACGGAACCATGAAATATGCTTTTAAATCCCTGAGCAGAGCCCCATTTGGTTCATCAAACCACAATGTTGTCTATTTGGTCCCACACTACAAAACCCGTCCTGAGGAAACACAAGCCAGAGCAACGTTTGGTTCCGGTTTGGGTGCAAGAGTCCATCCATAATCTTCAAGACTGTTTTAGTTGCACAGACTGGGATTTGTT